ACCTGTGATGCTCTGGCTCCTCCAACACACAGCTTCAATGGCAATAAAGCTGGGTGTGATTTTTGTTTTTGCACTCCTGCCCTTCCACGTGGTCTATGGGTTTTTCCAATGTGAGGATGCATGCTGCAAATAGGTGTGTTCAAGTAAACTCAGGCAGCATTATATGAGCCTTCCACAGAAGGCATTTTTCATCCTTGAAAACCCTTCCAGAGCAGGCTGTAGGAATTTCATTCAGATACTGATAGTTTGTTTAGAAGGAGATGTTTGTCAGTCTCTTGTTATAGTAGGATGTCTGAGATCTTCCTGTTTTCTCAAGTAAAGGTGCTGATAGTTATGTCAGTATGAGAGTATTTAAAGACAGATGCTTGACTGAGAAAGAAGCATTATATCTTTGAGGCGTGTTGTTCCTATGCGCATTTGTAGCCAGGCAGTCTCATCCTCCTGGAGTTTTTTCTAAATAATGTTCTGTCACTTTGAGAGGAAAACAAAGACTGAGCACTGCTCATATATGACTCCATTCATTGCAGAATTCCTATGAATTCTGAAAAAAAGGTGAAAAACAACCATAAACCCCACCAAAACCAGTAAGGCATACATGGCTAAAGGTGTTAAACACAGCATGAACACGCATGGTATGGGGGAAAACTTTTTAGCTTCAGATATGGAAAAGCTATGAAAAAGCTTTCAGTGTCTTACATCGTTAAAATAAACAAATGAAGCTTAAATCTGGTTTTCTGCATCAACAAATGTCTTTTCCTGCAGAATACTTAATAGGCTGTGGTAAGCTTTTTTGTAACATGCATGTTGGCTGAGGTGCTGAATTCCTGATAGCACTGTTTTTTTGTCCATTAACGTAGGCAGTGAATTGCTGCTTTGAGTTATGTGGGCCTGATGACCAATAGCTATCACAGCTTCAATTTGTTATGTTAATTTTATTGCGGTCCATGTCCTTGTCCTGTCATTCCAGCCTAAGCCACAATAAACCACTAATGAATATTACAAGTACCTTCCTGTGAAGACTAGCTGACGTACCTCCTTCAAGCCATTAGGAAAACTGCACCCACTTCAGATTATCTGAAATTCATCTCTCTGACCTTCAGAAACCTAGTACTTTTAATTCCTGACTTGCGCTTCTGTTTGAGCTCACTGTTAAAAGGGTTAACGCTGTCATGCCAATACATGCACAGTATTGCTGTGTAAAAACTGAAAACAGAGTTCAGGTTGTACTTTATCATTTCCTGAAGTTCAGCCTAAGGTATATCAGTGTTGCTCAAGTGGAATGCCTCTCTGTGGAAACTTAGTTTTGATAGTATATTGTGCTTTTGCTGCAGTATAGACATATGTAGGTTCAAAGTACACTCTAGCTGACAGGCAAGCTTAATTTTACAGAAACAGCACAGTAATAGCATAGATTACAATTTTGTGTTTATGTGCATAGGAAGTGGTAGGGATCTATAACAGAAATAAGGCAAAAAGAAAGGAATGAGGAAGACTGCAAGGACTTTTTTTCCAAGACTCTTTTGGAAAAATCTCTGCATGAAAGGTTTCTGCAGACTCCGAAGTTTTCTATGAGTGTCTGAAAACATGGGTCATTTACCCCTTTCTTTTACTGCCTTTTTTTAACTTCCAAGGATATCAGCATTTTCTGTTGATACTTGCTTACTATGCATAGCAAAAGTGGAACAGTGAAAACTTTTACTACCTGCTTTCATCTACCATGTTCACTACATACAGTGTCAGATCACAGACTGATGGATATCTTTGTTCAAAGGAATCTTTAGGAACTCTTGTTGTCTAACTTCCTGCTCTGTGGGATTGCTGCTAATACTAGGTCATGGGCTGGCATGGTTTTATCCAACCAAAGCTTGAAAACCTGCAAGGATGGGGATGCCATGACCTGTCTGAACAACCTATTTGACTGTTAAATCGCTCTCCTAGAAAATGCCTTTCTCCCTAGTGTCCAGTCTGAAAATCTACAAACAAAAACTGATAGGTTTGGTTCTTTTTATTTAGTCTGGCAGTGCCAAGAAGAGTTTGGCTCTCATAACTGCCCTTGAGATAATGAGAGGCAGATGTTAGATTGCCATCCTCCAATCTCTTCAGAGCACTAGGCAATCCCAGCTCTTCCCCGCCGAGCCCTTTCCTTCTTTCTCTCTCTCTGCAGGTAAACACAAAAGCATGTTTCACCAGGCTAAAGGCATGGCCTTTCTCCAGACTCAAAGCTGTTTAGTTTTCTGTACATGCCAGCTTTGGTTACTTCAGTTCTTCCATTTCCTCACTATATCCCCCACCCATGCTAGTTCTGAAGCTAGCACATCTCAGGATCCAGTATGCAGATTATCTGAGGGACAGTTGTCTTTGTTCCTTGTTGAATCTGTGAGTTAATCTGAAAGTGTTCTCTGCTTCATGTCTCTTTCCTACATGCAGAGTGTTATGCCGTATTATGTGGCAACAAAAATGTCTAAAATCTCCAAGCCAAGCTTCGATAAGCCCACTCCTGAAACGTACGTGCGAGCTGCCATAGGCACGGTAGGCCTGCAGTCCCAGACCAACGGGTGCCTGCCCCATGCCTTCATGGTAAGTCACCTTGGACAACACAAGGATCTAATATGTGATTACTGGGGAAGAAGAGCAATGATTAATTTTGAATATTAAATAAAAGTTATTTTTGTTCTTTAATCATAATTTTGTAACGTTTGTGTGTGCTGGTAATGGTTTGATTTAGCTTAGAATAGACAATAAAAGCTGAGACATTTTTCCTTTGATTTTTAGGGCTGGGTCTTCTCAATTCTACCTACGTCCACTGTCATGAATTTACTCATGAAAACAAACAAACAAATACGGGCTCGTTTTTTGAAAAAAAAGATGAAGGAGAAGTAAGTTGCTGACAGCTCGATCTGTGAAAGCTCCTGCAGGAAGATCTGTGGAAACTCCAGCAGGTTTCGTACTCACACTTCAGCGCCAAGTAGACCTAATGTTTTAAACATCTTCAATTGTAGGTGTACTTTCTAATAAGCAAAGCGATATTGTTTTGAGGATACAGATGAATCTTGACTTCTAATACTGATATCAAAATAGGCTTGTTTATATATATTATAGGTATATTGGGGGGGGGGGAGTGCTTTGGACTAAAATTGCACTGTGCTTTAAGAAATACTTACATGGATGTGATCAGACATTGCACTGCTGGGGAACAGCTTGGTTATATAGTGTCCATCACATCTATGTATTATGTTTTTGGGTGAAGGGCAGAAAAGTTGTAGTTCTCTGATATTCCTGGAAAGGTGGGGAGGTGTGGGACGGGAGCATATTTGTTTGAAGGGTAATCTGGCTCAATTCAGAGTGTAACTTTTTCCTGGTTCAGGTTTAGGGTACTTGCAGGATTCAGCATTTTCAGCCAGCTAGCAAATGCTCCTCCGCTTACACAGTCCATTAAACAAAACCGGGACGTCATGGGCAGGGTGGGATCAGCTTAGGGGCTGCTTGCCGGCTGTGAAGAAGTCATCACTCTGTAAAACAAGAATACCAATAACCGAAGTTACGTACCTAGGAAAGGATCATCACTGCTTGGGAAGGGTGACCATGAAGTGATCCTTAACCTGATGGATTTGGAAACCTGTTCATGGGTTGGTACTGTATTGAAGTAGGTTCTTGCACCAAAACCTGAGCTGTCATTTATGTGAACTTCAAGGGTCTAGTGTGATTTTTCTTTTTGGTTATGAACTTGAGGAAAATGGGCCAAAAAAAAAAAAATTGAGTGTAATTGCTCATCTATAAATATATACATAAAATAACATTGCAAAAGGTATTGAAATTCTTGGTTCTTGAATATGGATTTTAACTTTTCAGTCGTAATCTTTACAATTTGTAATAACATTTTTAAAAGTTCAGTGCCTGTTCTTTGTAATAGATGGTGATAACACAATGTGGATGTACGTCACAAGTTGTGTTACTTGCTGGTTGTTATGTAAAAGATTATTGGCACTTTGAATGCAGAGCTTGAAACGAGTTACTGTCCTTGTTAGCAATGCTGGATGGGTGATTTCTGAGATGTCTGTCACTGTGTCTTCTGGTGAGGCCATTTGAAATGTGAATCCTGGATATTTGTGACAGCTTTAAAAATGAGAACCAGCAAACTTTAAATGTAGAACTTCTTAGTATTTTTATTTGTGTTTAACTGATTTCTTCCGTAGTTCTATTCCAAAACCGAGTAAAGCTGAAGTTACTCAGCTCGGAGACAGGGATCAGAGTGTATGAGAAGTCTGTACTGCTGTTGTCTGTGTTGACCTTTAAAGATATGGTCTTTAACATTCCTTTATATAAATGTGAAGAAAAAAAAAAATCCTTTCAAACCAAATGAAATTGTAAGTAGCTACCAATGTTTTCTGTGGTGACTGCCTTCGGTTAACAAATGGAGATTGCTTTGTCCTTGGAAGAATAATTTCAAGCTCTGGCTTTGAAGTTAAATGTGTTGCACTGAAACATGATTTGGGGCTAACATTTCTGTACATTGAAAAAACCCGAATACCGATGCAATGGTGCTGATCAAATCTGAGCTAAAGCTCCTATCCCATAGTTTTCTTGATGTTTTTCTCGTTTCCTGGATCAGGAATGGTGAGGTCAGTTGTGCAGGACTTTGCTCAGGAGGTGATGTGGAAGCATTGGACTAACCAATCTGTGTGGATTTTCACTTGGTAAACCCAATAAAACGGCATTCACTCTCAACCTCTTGTTTGTTGGTTTCCTTCTTAAACCGTTTGCACTTCCATATCTCAGACTGAACCTTTTTATTAATCTCTGTCCGGCTGCGGTCTCAGCGACAAAGCGAACACCTTAAAATCCCCGGACCACAACCCGCTAAGCTTTTAGCTGGAGCTACTAATGAAGCTGTTAATTAATCAGCTCCTTCCACACTCAGGCCTCGCTGCAAGCTCCGCAGCCGCCACCAGAGGGTGCCGGGCGCTCAGCCATGCGGCCCGGCCAGGGCTGAGGGGCCGGGCTGAGGCGGCGGCGCCATGGCGGACAGGCGGCGGCGGGCCCGCGTGCAGGGCGCCTGGGCCGGCGGCGCGGCGGGGACGGCCGCAGGCAAGGCCCGGGGCTGGGGGTGGCGGCGGGGGGAGGGCCGGGAGGGCTCCGGGGGGGACCCGCAGTTGGGAGTTGATAGTTTTAATGCAGGTTTTTCGTGCTGTAATGACTTCTGTTTCTGTAGGGCTGCACGTTTAGGACATTAGTGTTCCCTAATGCCTCCATGTATTCCTTCCCACGCTGTCCTGTGAAGGATTTGAGTTCTGCCTGTCCCCTTTTCCCCTCTGTTTTTGCCTTAACGTTAGCAAAAGGCAGCACTTCTTCTTTGTAAGCACCTACACTTGGCAGAAACTCACTTAAAAACATTTTCCATTTGTCCCTGAATAACAAAAATATTCAAGACGCTATGCAGCTTTAACAGTTACGTGACGTAGGTTTGGTTGTCACCAAAAGTCTCTGCCAAGCAGAGGAGAATCCTTCAAAGAAGAACTCCGTAAATCCTTACAAACATGAGCATTGTGTTTTCCATAGGGTGAAGTGCAATTTCATGCTATCTTTTTTATTTTTTTTTCCTTTGCTATAGCACCAAAGGCACCTGTGGCCAGTAACGTTTCCCCTGCAGGTACTACTGGGCAGGCGTGGATGCAAAAAGGTCAACTTCACCCTCAAAAGCAATTTGTCTTTGAAAAGCCATCGGAGGTAATTAATCATTTAATTAAACGCTTATTGCCAGAATCTCAAGTTCTCTGAAACTTTAAACAATGAACTGAAAAATTACAGACTTTGACATTAATGGTCTTGTGTTTTAAAACAAATGAAAAAGCTGAGCTGAACTGTTAGGGGCTTTTACCAAGCGGAATTTGAAACTCTTACTGTTTGTCCATCTGTGTAGTTTCAATCTAGGTACTCATTATGTATCTATTCATAGCTACTTTTCATTGTTTGTTTGTTTTAGGAGAACCAAAGGATATATTTTCTTAAATATTCAGAATGATACAATGTCCCTAAGCATGATTGGAGCTCTGTTTTGTTCTCGGGATATCTGCAATATTTCTGCTGGGGGAAGCATGTGAGATTTGTTTTCTAGGCTTTCCTTTATGGCCCACAAGGAGATGAAGGATATTTTGCTATTTGCAGTGGGAAGGTAGTTCCTTGCTTGTGAAAAAAAAATCTTAAATGCTTCTTTCTAAGCCAGTAATATTTGAAAGGACCCTTCATGGCTTGAAAGGTTTGGAGACATTCTGGGAAGTTTCTCTGTTCTCTGCAGCAGAGCCCTGGAACCTGTGCAGTACTATGTCTTGGCTGTTCTGTATACTCATTTCTGTAGCACCTTGCATGTCAGCCCCACAATGAGCTCAGAGAAGAGAAGCATAAATCCAGAGGGCAACCAAAATGATGATATAGGCTGGATTCAATGATTAAAAAAAAAAACAGCTGTCTCAAACTGCCATTTTAAGCTGTTGGTTCCTGCTGTCTGATCTGTCTTACGTTTTGTTAATTGACTGGGACTGAGATTTGTCCTGGCCTTGTACATTTTTAATTCTGAATGTAAGGCTAGGATTTCTTTGGTTGTAATTCAGAATTGTGATAATCCAAATAGTTTAGAAAGGGATGTCCTTTAGGGGGCAGTTGATTGTTAAAATACGTCTGGAGTGGTAGCTGCATCTGAGGGTTTCCAGGGGATGCAGCGGAGTGTTGCTGCTTTACCAACTGTCCAGAGGTGTGTGTTTCTCACTGACATTTCAGTCTTCAACTATCTAGAATCACTACAGATGGCAACAAGCTCTGTTTGACTAGAGCACGTCAGGTACGTAAGCATTTAGTATTTACCATGTGTTGTCTGGTTACCTTTCAGGTGGAACGCAAGGTTCCTGAGGCAGGTGTGATAGAGTGAGTATACTGCTGACTGACTATCCGTCTAGCTTGTGGTTTTTCTGGTTGGGGTGAATATGCTTAAAAGAGTTCTTTCTTTGCTTAAACTGACTATACCTTGGAAGAAATTTCAGTACAAAATGTGTACTTTCAACCCTTTTATCCTGAACTGAGTTTATAGTCAGGAGAGTCCAAGCATGTCTTCGTAGTTTTTGTGGCTTTGGTGTAGCTTTGTAAGTCAGGAAAAATGAACAGTTGGGGGTTCTTGGATAACAGAACCACAAATATATCTATGTTGGTTAACGATATACTTTTTCTTACAAAAGTCCCTGTGTAGACTATACTGGAAATTACTTGCTGTTATCCATGTATGTAACTGGTATGGCACCTCTGCTTCCTTTGACGGTTCAGAGAAGTAGCTGCTTGTAAGCATCATAGTGAAGCTAGATACTCTAAAGCTGTAGATCACTTGCCCTTTGTGTCAAAAATCTCAGGGATTTGCTCAGAGTAAACATGTCATTAAGTATGGCAAGGTGTGGTGGTGTATGGTGAAGATACAAATTTTAAAAATAAATTTGTTTCAGTTTGGTCATCATGATAGAGTTTTCTTACTAAGCGGTTACTGTGAAGCAAGTTACAGATCCATCTCGAGTCAGATTTGCATGTGCTTACCTCAAGGGGTCTGCTGTTAGTTCTCTGCATGCAGTTCAGAATGGTTGCTGGGTGGGTGTTCATGCACAGCAGGCACGATTCAGATGTCCTCTGGTGCCCCATGTTCAGCCACCCTCTCACAACTGGTGTGGTAGTGAACTGTTCATTAATCAGAACTCCTTGTGAGAGGTGTTTCCACCAAGATGCTGGAAAAATCCTGGTGGAAATAGTAACAGAATTTCCCAGCAACACTTAAGAGATTGTAGCAGATACTATGTATCTGCTAGCAGATACTTCCCTTTCAGTGTGAATGATACAGAGTATAGTTCTTTGCTTATTGTTTATTATTAGTAGTAATAAATCTAGGTACTGAGCAAATTCAGTGTGTTAAAAAAATGCTCTAAAGGTTCACATGGCTTTATTACTCTTATTTACAAATTAAATAAAAACTGCAGGGGAAAATAAAACTGAGCTGCTGTTCTCATTAAAACAAAGTGCTGTAGATAATACTGTATGGTTTATGCTCTGAGTGTATGTGCAATGTGGAAAAGAGTATAGAAGTTCTTGTTTATTCAACTTTCTTAAATCCAGCACAGTGCAAAACAGTTTGTGATGGTCTTGTGATGATCAGTATACAGATTGGAGCTAGTTTAGGAGAAAAATGAGATTGCAGGTGAAACACAGTTCGTGTGAGAGAAGATAATACTTCACAGCTGTGCAGCTTGTAACTGAGGGTAGAGATATTCACCTTCTGTACCAGCTACACTGGCTTAAATATTGTTTGCATACATGTAGTTTGGTTTCTCTGTGTGACTGAAAACTGGATTACATGTCCACAGTTAGACTCACGTTCTTTGTGTACCTATAAATGCAAACAGCAAGCATGGTCAGGGCATGGTTTTCTGTGGTTGTCTCCCTTCGATTCCCTGTGCCATCCCTCATTTACTTGTCTCCAGAGCCCTAAAACCATGTATTGAGCCTTGGCTGAAGTGGGAGCGAGAGAGAGGAAGTACACACAAACTCATTTTTTCTGTGACATTCCTGGCTGCCTTAATCTAACCTCTGTCTCTTCAGAACATTTTTGCTTCCCTTAGTACCACAAAGCTTTTTTTCTTTTTTTTTTTTTTCTTTCTCTCTTTCTTTCTTTAAAGAAAACTCACCCTAGTGCAGGCTTACAGCAATTCTAGTCCAAGTTGCTCTGTGTAAGATCACTTACTGTTGTCGGTGCATCTGACAGCTCTTTCTTTTCTATATCCTCAGCAAGCCTGGTGTGTATGAGCTCAGCACGGGACCAAGCGGAGTTTCCAGGTAAGTGGATTACATGTTTTTTGAAACTTGCTATTTGCTGCTGTTGAACACTGCGGTGATGCTCAGCTTTCTGAAGTCTGGTCTCTGCAGAGTGTTCTGACTCGAGCAGGTGCCTGTTGGCCCTTCCTATGTGTCATGTGTTTAGAGTACCTCTGGAAGTACTGTGAGTATCAGGCACAGCAGAGTTACACAGTTCTGAGCAGCACTGAGGAGATGAAATGCGAACCTTTTAACGTCTAGCACATACTACATCTAGTGCTCTTGTCTGGAATAAGGCAAAGGGGCTACGTCCATTTGTTCCGTGCACCGCAGTAAGTTGCTGCTTGAAATTTGGATTGGTATTCCTGTGATAGCAAGGGTGTGGGGTCTAAGTCATATGTAGCTGAAAGCTACCAAGTACGTTTAGATGTAAATATGACTTGTTTTTAATTGATCTAATAAAAGATTTTAAGCAGACGGGCAACTTTGGGGTTGTCCTGTTTACTTCTGTCTTTTGTCTTAGTTATTACAGCTTCTGGACGCTTTAGAGCCTACTTGTTCTGTGATTCCTGCCAACTTAAAAGCAGTTTATTTCGCATTGCTGACTTAGCTGCAATATCAATATTCATTCTTTTTTTTTTTATTTGAACTTAATAGACTTCTTTTTTCCAATATTGGAAAAATGCTTCTTGTGAATTTATTTGAAAGTTTTCATCTTGTTTCCTTCTAAAACTGCAAATAATTTTTATACAAATTTGGAAAAAGCTTTGACCAGTAGGGAAGAGAGAAAAAAATATGCAACCAGTTGTGTTACTTTGCCACTTTCAGGAGTTTATATTTTCATAATATATTGCTGTACTATATATGTATTTTAAAACTCAACAATTGGATTTTACATCTCTTTTTAACATCTTTGCTACCTATTCTTACTGTGATGTCTTTGGAGCATTGCATTTTCCTAAGGGCAACTTCTCATGAATAGCTTTCCTACTCTGCAGGCCAGCACAGTGGCCAGAATTTTTCAGTGCTGCTGTTAGTGCAGTCTAAATATAAAATGTACATATAAAAATATGAAAACTGGAGAGGTTAAATGCTTATAGGATTCCTGTGCTTTCAAAAGAAAAGATAGAGTGGTAGTAGTGAAAAAGGGCTATCAAACTCTTAGGTGCCATGGAGGTGATGAATTACTTTAAGGCAATTACTTACCTCTGTTGATTGTTGTACTATAATTGGGGTATATAATTTTTCAAGTGGAAAGTTAAAAACAAGAAAGGATGCCATTTTTTGCACAGTATATGGCTGATTATGGAACTCATGGGTTATTGTTGGTTACATATGTTTTTATAGGTTTATAAAGCAATTAGACATCTTTAATTAGGGGAGACCCATTAGGAGTTGAGTTTCTGCTGCCTTCTGTTCTGCCTGTATTACCTTAAATTCTTTGTGAATCCCAGAAATTAGAGTATTTTATCAAAGCATATATAGAAGACTTTATTCCTTCCTTCTTTTCTGTATCTTCTTCCTTAGGATTCATTTGATTCCTGCCTTCATTGATTCAGAACAAGCAGACTGGATGTTTGAACAACTCCTCCAAGACATACCCTGGGGTCAGAGAACTCACATCAGACAGGGTAAGGGTGTGTAGACTAACTTTTCAGGTCATTTCCGTGCTAAAATGCACACAGTGCACATCATGTCATTGTTTTTCATTTTACACATTGCCACTCCTTCACATACTTCCTCCCAGGTTTTCCTTGCATAACTGAAAATTACTGCTTATCTTTCAAATCTGTGTCACCGTGTTCCAATTCACAATTATTTCAGCTCTTTCCAAGTTCAAGAGAGATGAAAATTGCCTCTCCGTCTTATAAGTTTTAAAGTATTTCCCTTCTGTGGCATCTTCAGTTCTTTTTCCTGCAGTCTTTTTGAATAAGTCTGTGCTCCATCCCTTTATACCATTTCCCAGTGATGCTGTAAAAACTATTTTCTTTGAGGTTTCTGTTACCAGGAGTATTTTTGCCACTCTCTCTTCGAATTCCAGCAAAGCACACTTCTTTTCCCTTATTTTTGCTTCTTGGTTGCAGTACGAAGTAAGTGAAGAGTCTGCTATTCTGGATTTGTTCACTAAGGGGCCACCTGTTCCAGCTAAATTTCTCTTTTTAGGCATGAACGGATATAACAAAATAGGTTGGAGTAGTTACCGGTCAGGGCTGGAAAATTTCTTCAACATCTGTGTTTATTGGCTTGTACTGAAGGTAGTGTAAAATGGAGAGTATTACCTGTCAAACGTGAGAAATAACTACCAAGGCAGTCTTCTCAGAAGCTGAAAGTACTTGAACTTGATGTTTGTATTACGCCACAGAACACTTGCATGTTTGACAAAATATTACTTGTTCAGCTTCGCTGCTTTCTCCTTCTGTAATGTCCCACTGATGCTGCAGTCCCTGACGCTTCATCCTTTTCAGAGGGAATACCTTGCAGTTAATGCCAGCGTATTGGAACCAGGAGAATGTAAAGCAAACTAGAATTGTAAATAAAATTTCAGTTTCATTTTGCTACCTTTAATTTATCCAGTCCTTGCCCAGTCTGAGAAAATTGATGCGGCTCCAAGATTTTGGCAAGGGAATACCTTTCTCATATAAGTAGCACAGGGTCTGCTTTTGAATAATATTCCTTTTCTTGGGTTCATTCTGTAACGTAGTTCTTTAAGGAACTGCTTTTTAACTTCAGGTGAGTGAACAGTCACTTTTTGATTGAATTTTTTGACAGAATTGTGCTTTTCCATTTTCAGGTTCTTTGATAAAGCAACTGAGAAGTCTTCCTGTTTTTTTCAGAAATGTCTTTTGAGGAGCCAAGGCTTACCTCCTGGTATGGGGAACTTCCTTACACGTACTCCAGGATAACGATGCAGCCAAACCCAAATGTATGTATATTTTTACAGTTTCCTTTTATTATTGTCTACAAAGAAACCCTTTGCAGAGATTGAGAGACAAAACCTTCCTTCTATCTTCTTTTTATCTAGAACATTCCTCAGAATTTCTTTTTATGACCAGCAGCATATTCTAGTGGAAAGTGGACAACTTAGTGAAATAATCATTATGAGTGGATTGATTGAGAGGAGCATTATTCAGTGGATAAAAGTTTGGAAAAGGAAATTACAACTCCAGAGTTTAGTTCTTAGTTCACTGTGTAGCTTCGGACAAAACTCTCAATTGTTCTGTGACTTACTCTATGCATCTTTATATTGAAGTCTACACAGTTGTACTGAGTTTTTCTTGTAGAGATATAACAACATCAACTACTGAAATATTTATGTTCAGAAACACTTAGATTCAATACAGCTTAAACGTGAATTTAGGCATATTGTTGATTCCTGTGTAAATGTTACAAGATTCAGCACGTGACGTGCCTGCTCAGCCATTCCAGATTATGTCACACAATTTCCCGTGCTATTTTGGAATGGTTAGAAACCTTCCAAGTGACTTGCTGCTGATGTGTTGGTCGTGTTCAGTTACTCTTGCTGGCTTCCAGCCTGTTGTCCCATCTTTTGGCATTGCTTTGTCTGAAATTGCCATGGCAGCAGGCTGCAGTGCCCTGAAGCCTAAATGAAGTGTGACTATTGAGGGCTGGCTAGGGTTGAAAAGAAAGAAAAGTGTCCCACGTCCAGAACTGCTGCTGGATGGGACACTTCCAGCAAAGCTCAGTTTGAGGGGAGTGGAAAGGTGTTATTTACCAAGATGAGCTGTAAAGATTTTGTAGTTTCAAAAATCCCGTAGTTGGTAGTTTTGTAGTGGGAAAACAGGCACTTTTTGTACTTATTTGTGGAATATTATTTTACATGGACTTTTCTAGAAGCAGAATGACTTCAGAATGACTGTTGCTGTTCAGAGGTTAGACAGAGCCTCTGTGCCCCAGGTTCACTATTTCAGTCCAGTTTGCATGAAGTTCAGTTAGCCATCGTCTGGAAACTGCCTGTAGCCAGATATAAGGGTAGACTGCACATGGGCACTCTGACATTGTATTCGGCTTTGTAGGAGGGAGTTATGCAGCCTAAAAAAAGCCATGGAGGGTATAAACAGCACAGCCCTTACCTGTGGAGTAGGTTTTATATTACAAAAACATCCTCAGTGTCAAATGACCAAATGCAATTCGGTGCACAGCTTCGTCAAAAACAGTTGCCTGCCTTGAACGTGTGATCTGCAGGAGTGATTTAGCTTTGTGCCCCTCATTTTTTGTTTGATAAGGCTGGGTGTGATGGCAGCACTGCCAAGTATGATCCAGTGCTACTGTGCAAATAAACTTTAGTATTAGAAAAAAGTGTCTTTGTAAGCAGTGACGTAGTTGGGGATGTAGTAATGTATCACAACAAACTTACTTCCACTCCTGCAGGTTTACTGTGAAGTTTCCACTGCATTGTAAAATTCACCATATAACATTTTTACCAATAATACTTTTGTGATAGGAATTGAAGGAATCCGGTTCAATGGGTCACTAAGAAGTGCTTTCAGTCATTCTCTTTGGACTCATCTGTGATTGCATAGCATGTTGGGCACATGCTGCAGCTCTGGAGATCCTGTGTTTTGTCCTTCAGGCAACCCAAGTACAAGCTATAGCATTTTTGGGTGCTGGTACTGATTTCCCTACATATCCCATAGCTACAGGCTGTGTTCATGTATAATTAATTATTCACGTGATGCTTAGTCATTGACGGGGTGACTTATCTAGAAGAATACCAAACAGAGAAAGATGACACGATGAAGGCTTCTGTAGTGTAGCCAATAGGTTAAAAACCCTCTAAACATGGAAGGGCAGTGGTGCAGAGTTGATTATTTGAGGTGGATACTGGGAAATAACTCATGCTCTCTGTTCCTTCTGCCAGTGTTTGCTGAGAGGTTTGGAATCAGTTCTTTGTCCTCTCTTGATCTCTGTGTTTCTGCTTATATAATGGGCAAAATATTCTGGCCGACATTGCTCTGAGCCTTTTTTTCTCTTTTCTTTTAGCTTATGTAGTACTTAAAAGCACTCTGACAGCTGAAAGTCATGATGTAAGTTTGTAACATTGAATAGTGATTCACTGGACTGAGCTGTAATGGAATGCGCAGAGCTGCCACGGGCTATGGGTGCAGCAAGATAGTTGCAACGGGAAGGGGGAAATTCGGGGCCTGTGCATTCAATTTTGAGAATCACTGAGAAGTTACACAGCTGAAGTCAAACCCCCAAGAGAAGATGAGCGGGGCTCAGCACGCTGTGCTGCTGGAGCTGGGAGTAGAGGGCCATGCTGTGGAAGCGTTGGGCCAACTGTTGGCTCTTGTTCTGGGTCACCTGCAGGGAATGGAGAGGGATTTATGTGGACACCAGCTGCAACTTTTTGGGTGTGCTGTGCCCACCAGCAGTGGTTAAGTAACTCAGGTGTTATCAGCCCCACGTGTTAAACTCCGCTAGCTTGGCCAGGAGATTAGAGCAGACAGGTATGGATTAGAGAGGTTGCAGAGTTTTTGTTCTGGTTAAGAACTGCTGGTGTTTATCTATGCTCAGTTCAAGCACATTTTACTCTATCCACTTCCTCACCTTCCAGTTAATGGAGGTGGCTAGCGGCTGCCACTAGCAGGCAGACTGGCTTCTTATTTTTAAGAGGTGATTTAGTGTTGACCTGTAGGCAACAAGCATACTTTGCAGAAAGCCTGTTCCTCAGCTTTACTAAAAATCTGATAAGAATTGTTCAGAGATATTTGTTTGGCTTCATTGTGGTGAAAGTGCAGTATGTTTTGTTTCTTATCCAAGAGTAGTTTTCCCCTTGTGTCCTGCTGTTATTGCCTGCTGCCCAGCTTTCATTGTATTTACCTGACTCTCTCTGTGCCAATTGCAGTGGCATCCTCTGCTGACTATGCTAAAGGAGCGCATTGAAGAGTTCTCTGGCTATGCCTTCAACTCCCTGCTCTGCAACCTGTACCGAAACGAGAAGGACAGCGTAGACTGGCACAGTGACGACGAACCATCGCTGGGAAAAAATCCCATCATTGCCTCGCTCAGCTTTGGCGCTACCCGGACCTTTGAGATGAGGAAGAAACCCTCCCCCGTGAGTGTTCTTATCGCAGTGAAAGAGTCCAAACTCATTTGTTTAGTCCTTTCCCTCTGTTTAGAGAACTTAATAACTACAAACATTTAGTTATGTTAGTAACTAGTGGGAAACACTCGTAAAGTTCTGGGGAATAAGTGTAGGAATCAAAAAAACCTGTTACATGGAACATGACATCATCAGGGTGGGAATGTAACCACTCTAATAACGTGCAGCAATGAAGTGCTGCAGTGAAATTGCAACCTACTATTTTGCCCTGATAAGGTCCTTTCCCATTACTTGAAATCAGTGATGTCAGAAGGGAGCTTTCACTATCTAAACGAGCCATAGATTCGATGCTGTTTTGTTAAGCCCCAGTAATGGTGTAATTCATAGTGTATGTGTTATGCAGAGTAGTTCTGACCATTCCTGTAAGTAAAAATCCCCTAACATTGTCTGAATTTTGACTTGTGTGTGTTCAGGCTGAGAGCCAATGAAGAGCAGGAAAGAGCAGCCCATTTCTTTTACCTAAAATACCAACCTGTGGTATCATACTGCACAGACTAAACAGGGATCGTTACTTTGATAGGAGGCATGTGTGAACATCCTCTCAGGAATTAGTTTCTGATTCGGTAGAGAATACTCTTTCTAAAACAAATGCTGTGTAACAGGCATTTAAGCAACAAGTAACTTAGCACTTAGATTTTGGATTATTGAAGTAAAGGGATCACATTCTTCTGCTGAAAGTACAAGCCTCATTGTAGGGTATCCTGCTTCAGATGTCTGTTCTGTGTGTTTTCTGTTACATGGTGATATTCTTGCTGTGAACTCAGTGGAAAACTCTGAGGATTTTTTTTTTTTTAATGTAGTCTGAAAAATGCAGTCTGAAAAGCACTTTGGGATCTTTGAAAAGCTGTTTGCCGTCTACTTACATTGTTAATTATTCTGAATAAACTAGTGCAGAAAGCAAAGGTGGACAGTACCAACCTATAAACTGTGCCCTGGGGTATTGAAATGTGCCCCTGAGGAGTGACAGAGGGTCACCAAGTCGTGAACAAAAAAGGTCAGGATTTGAATCAGAAAACTAAATAATTTGTGTTTTTCACCAGCTCTTTAATGTGTGAGTTTTGTTGCCTGAAGGGAGTTTAACCCTGTGGTCCCTGAGCATGAGATGACATAACCGGAGCATTGTGTCATTGGGCATAGCATGAGTAAGTGTCTTTGATTCTGTGATGATAACATAATGTCAGCTGGAAAGTTCATCCCTCTGGGAAGCTGTAAAGGGTGCCCAGGTTCATTTCCAGAGTGCATGTCTTCTTTTTTGATGGATCAGAATTAAAGCCACCTAGATTTCAGTATAAACTTGGCAATTTCCCCCTAAAAATTGAACGCAGTTCTTGAGCAAGATGTCCATTTGCTTTCTTTTCTCAAAAAATGTGTAAAGAGGGAAATCCAGTCCGTGCCACTCACAATTAGCCACTTTCTTTGATCTGTACTGTATTGTTTCTTCCCTTTTCTTCCTGAGGTGGGTGATTTTTTTAAATGTATATATCCCTCAAGTGCTCCTTATTTTTTTTCTTTAGTGTCTTTGACCTGATATTTCTGACTAGCTCGGTCTTGTTAAATATAAAGTGCATTCCTTTTGCAACTGTGACATACCTGTTTCTAAAATAAGATCCCCACGTGCGGAGTGATGCTTGAACAAGTTGCTATTAACTGTGTATCATGTGCCTAAGGGAATTTGTACTTAAAATTATATGTCACGTTACGTATTCTTTGCACGTTCCAAAAGCCTGCAATTTTCTGAGAGCATCCTATGACACTGGGTGCTTTGCCAAGTGGGAGTTACAAGACGCCCTGATGGAAATTACAACCTTTCAGGCTGTACCACCAAAGAAGTAATTTTCATGCTCCATTGTAATGTAGCATTCGCTCTTTCATTAAAGGAAAGTTAAAGTCAGTTGTAGATACTTGAAGTTTGATCACTACTTTGTTAAAAGCAAGTTACAGGGACAGGGGTAGCCTAGGGAAGGGGGATTTAGATTTACAATCATCACAGGCATCTCAGGCTCTTATCTGGTTTGTAATCTGCCATTATTCCTACGTCAGGTTTTCCAGAGGTAGTCTTCACTGAGGGAGGAAAAGAGAAAGCAAATCCTTTTCCTCCCCAAATTAAGCCTCTTTGGGGACCCAGATTCTAGTAATGCTGATTTTAGAGTTTGAAAGGCCTTCATTTCTCTCTGTTGTAAATGCTTTTAAGTATTTCAAGATGAAAGGTGTCATGAAAAGGTAAGATGAGAAATACTGTGCTAGAGGCTCACCGTGGATAAGTGATGCTGGAAAAAAACTGAAGCGATTGCCTGTGTGTGATCATGTACTGGGTACAAAACAGCATGTACCACGAGTCAGGTAACGTCGTGTAGTGCAATTGAGGAGTACTAAATCGGAGCCTTCGGAGACTCCAGCTCATATTAGTGACTGTCTGTACAAGTAGTGTCCAAATTTAACTGTGGATGAACCTCTTAGGGAATAAAACCCTGTTTCTCTAAGACAACTATATAAAAAAAAGACAGTTTTTTTATTTTGTTACTAGGCTTTTTTTTTTGGTTTGGTGTTTATTTTTTGTTTGTTTTTTTTTCTGTTGCTGCTGCTACATGTTTGTGTGAGATTTTTACATTCGTGTTGCAGAAATTTGAAGTTTCTGTAGGCAACATTGAAACTGCCACTAAAAGAAATCTTCCTGTCCTTGGAGGAGGAAAAAAAAAAGTTGTTTAGTTGCAAGTGGCATTATTATTGTTGTTGTTTAAATTGTTCCAGAGTAAGGTTAAAGAAAGGTTCAGACTGCTGTTTTTGATGACTGCTGCAGTGGATGAGTAAGTGTTCACTACATAATAGGGAATGAGTACAGACAGTCGTGCATGGCCTACATGAATCCACATTGCAAACATCCCTTCTGAATAAGTCGAAATAATTCCTACCCAGATTTCAGCCCAGAGCATGTTAAAAGAACTAATAAAAAGCTGCATATATTTTGGGAGCCAAATCCCTCCCTGGAGTTGTTAAGGAGACTTTTCATGGAAGTTAACGTGATTCCAGGAAGTGTTTTTGTTCACCCACTGGTGTTTTTCAGCATACTTTTTTCTAAATACTGCCTTTTCTGTTTATTTGGACCAGTTGTGTGGTTGTATGTAATATTTTGCCTTTGCTTTCAAGGGTTTCTAGGGTTTTTGGATGCTTACTTGGTAGTCCAAAGCCTACAGTGAAGTGATCTCATTTCTTCTAGTTTTTGCTTCTAGTCCCAGTAAGTTATTTAATTTTTTCTTGCCTCCTTGTTGCTCCCCGGTTGCTGTAGCTCCTGCCTGTGCTGGAACCAAGAGGCGAACGCTTTGTTTTGGAGCTGTGATTCATACTCAAGTCACACACAACCTGCTGGCTAAGCCAGCGAGCCCTCCCCTGCTGTCCCACAGCATACCTGTCACCTCAGCCCTACCACCTCCTTTCTGCTCCCCACACCGCCCCGAGGCCCTGTCCCACTCAGACCTGACTCAGCCGCCCTACTCCAGAGGAACTGATTTCCCTGCGTTACGTGGGTCATCCTGATCCAGCCTCGGCACCTCTTGTACTACTGCTTATCACTGCTCAACTCAGACAGCACCAGCTTATCTGATCAGGTCCTTTTGGGAACTCCGTGAGATTTTAGTTAAGGGTGATGTTTGATGTCCCAGTAAGCTCCCGTGTCCCGCTGGGGGCTGCTGTGCAGCAGAGGTCTGGGTGCCACACGGACCAGTTCAGAGCAGCTGCCCACCAAACTGCAGTGTGAGCCGTGTGTGGAGTTAGGAAGGCAGCTGTCAGGTTCATCTGTCAGCTTCGTCTGTCTGTAGCCAAGGAAACTGATGGATGCTGGGCAAGGGAGGGATTTTCGTGCGTACGTTAGATAACAGCAGGATGTGCGTGGTGTTCTCAGAATCAGCCTTCAGATGGGTCCGTCCTTCAAAAGAAACACTAAAACAAGGCCCTTCTGTCCTTGAGTAGCTCTTCTAGCAGAAATTAAAGAGCCCCTAGTACTTTTGGGAACAGAAAAATAACCCTTGGTGTCCTAAAAGGCCTAACTGAAGACTGACAGGAGTAGATGGAGCACGGTAGAAACTGAGCCTTGGATTGGGATGGGGTTGGGGTTGAACTTTTTGGATTGCCATGAAGGAGGCTTGCTTCCTTGGCTTTCCCCACCGGTATTGGCAAGACTTGAGCAGCTGTAGGCAAGTAGAGGAAAAGAGGAGAGCACTTTAAGGGTACCATACCACACTTGCAGAATGCAAGGTCATCAGCAGAAAGACAGAGTGTAAAGATAGTCCTGTGTAGGTGGGTGGGTGCATTACACGAGGAAAGGGCAATAGGACTGCTACTCGGGCTTCTAGATATTTTCTATATATTCTGTATTCTCTATATATTCTAGATATTTTTCCTTGCTTACCTTTTTGATTTTAATACCTTTTTAAGAAAAGTAATTGATGGAGTCCAGGAATGCTTCTAGTTTTTATACTGATGGCTTCACATCCACTCACACTGAGCTTTTGTCACTTACTACCTGTAGTTCCTTGGGTTAAGAATAGGCATCAAGAATAAGTTCCCTTCATAAATTTCCTGAGCTGTGAAACCCAGCTGAGTCTCCTGTATGTCTGACATCAACTCTGAAGAGAAAAGTTCTGAAGTGAGATTTGGTGGATGTGTTAGTATGGACACGTGATGTGTCTAACTTCACTGGCTCTGCAAAACCAGTGGAAATGCAATTCTGTTTTCTAGGTAAAACTAAGTTCAGATGTCACATCTGAAATGGAAAGAAACTTCTGCTTTTACAAACTCTCTTTTCTAAGCCAAAAGGATGTTTTCTCCTAAATCATTTATCTTAGAAGATTCATTTTAGTTGAGATGAGCAAGAGACAAAAATAAACCCACTGTTGTCCTTCCACAAAGTGAAATGGTGTAATCCAGTGAAATAAAAAGCCATGCACTGCTATTTCACTGCTTTTCATCAGCGGTCATGTTTGAGATCTATTTTTGAAATTCCCCTTGTTTCATCTGTTGTTTTAAAAAAGCATTTTTGGCATTGTGCTTTACTTCTAATAGAGGAAGACAAATGCCTCTTAATTCCAGAAACTTAAAAATATATTTTGCAAATGGACATTGTCCTTACAGAGAATGAAAATATTGCAGGTGATTCTCAGTGCCTTCTGCAACTCTGATTTTAGAGGTTTAGTGAGCTTAACTAATGGCTGAAACAGCCTCAGGCCCTTAGGTATCCCCAAGAAATGCACAAACCCAGAATTGCCATGACTGCCAGTTGCACTAGCAGTGTTGAATAACCTTGTTCTGTCACACTGTGACTAACTTCTAGTCCCAGAGTTGAACAGAAAGTTGCTAAGATGCCGGTCAATTACATGAAGTGATGCTTTTAGTTATTGGGAATTGATTTGACCCCAATCAAGCTCTTTTGCATAAACAAAAAAAATGATTTGGTGAGCTCTTTGGAAAATAAACATCTCTGCTTCTAGATGCAGTGGTATAATAACAAATATATTTTGAATAACAAATTTTCATTCAGACTGCTTGCTATATGCAGCAAACTGAGAACAAGGTTAAGCCTGCATTTGGACTGTGTAGTCCTTGAAAATGAGAACCTGTCATTTTTTTTCCAAGCAAAACTTTTTTTTTGCTTGGAAAAATTTATCATCTGCTTTACTATTTCAGGCTATCTGATGCATTCTTTAACTTAATAATAAAAGACCTTGAGTCTCTTCCCTTTCAACACTAATTAAAATATTTTCTCTACCCCTCTCTTCCCCCAAATAACCCCTGTGTTTGGAAGGTGATTTTCTACTAGAAACTTCCCGGAATTCCTCATTTCAGAGAGTTGCTGTCCATTCTTCTTTGGCAGCTTTCAGATTTGGCAGTAGAGATCTACAAAAGGCTAACTATGTACTTCCATTTTATATTTGGGGAAATAGTGGTTTTCTTATTCACACTTTAATGAAATAATCCAAGCTCCAGTACAAAGCAGTCAACATGTTGAATAGAAGTTGTTTAAGTTTTGCAGCAAGTTTTTGCAACTGTTGAAGGCTAATACCAGAAAATAGTGACGAGTACACAGAGCATTATAATAGCTGCCCAGGTGGCAGTCTGGAAGATGGTGCATGTCAGGCAGAGAGTGATCTCGTGAGGATGCTGCTGTTGTGCTAGTGAGGCTTCCCTAAGCAACTGGACTCAGCAGGGTGGTGGTCCAGAGTAAAACTGGAAGGAGTAGGGCAAAGAAATAGAGTTACTACTGTGACTGACACCGTTTGTGTCAGGCTACTACTGCTGTGTTGCTATATTTGGTTGTCGTAGTTGTGTTTTAAAACAGTTGTGCGTAATCTGAAGGCTTAACCAAAGTTTTGCAAATGATGCACGTCTTCTAGGTGAGCAGCCTGGCTTGCTTAATGGTGATGAAGTTTAAGAGAACCTGAAACAAGACAAATTGAGAAGAGGAAGATGTGCATTTTGGATAAAGCAGTTAACCATTGGAATCACGGTTATGGTTGCAGAATGTTTCCACATGAACTGTTCAGTTCAAGTGGATGTTCCCAAAACATTTGCAGCCTTGCTCCAGAATTTTGCACTGGACTTAGGAAGCATTTGTTGAATTTCACCGATGTTATAAAGACAGTGACATGTAACGGCTTTCCATCCTGAAAATGTTCAGCTCCTCAGCTCCTTATGAAATATGGTGGCAGAGAGGTCTAGTTAGACTTCCTGAGCTCATAAAAGCTTCCTTTTGTCCTTTCCCCTCCCTGTTTTTTAAGCTCTGCTATATAGGACTAAGGACTGATTTTCTAGCAAAAGCACTTGCCTGTTTCTTCAGTGTCCTGTGTTTCTTTTTAGGAAGAGAATGGAGACTATACTTACGTAGAGAGACTAAAAATCCCACTTGATCATGGGACTCTGCTGATGATGGAAGGAGCTACCCAGGAGGATTGGCAGGTAAGAAATCCTTGGCACTGCTTAAGAGCTTTATTTGCAGCGCAAATTCTCTAAATGTGTGCAAAGCACTTCCATGAAGGAGGTAGGCAATACTCGGCTTCCAGTGAAACAATTATTTCACAATGCTTTCTACCTCAGAATTTCAAAGCACCGTACAAAAATTATGCAGTTTTATTCAACTGCTAAGTGATACAAGGAATCAGCTCACATGCTGATGTTTCAGCATTTAAGTTCAGCGGTGAATGTTGCAGCCTGCAGCTGAAAGAGCAAAATCCATTTAGGAGCTTAGAATATAAAATTGTTGAACTTAATTTAACAAGGCTACAGTAATCTACAAAAGACCTTTATTTCCTCAGTAGCCCTGAGCAGTCAGAACATGAATGTTTTGCCTTAACTAAATCTTTAGAAAAGTTCATGAAAAGCCATTACAAAACATTAAGGTTGTTTTTTTTTTATGTTGTTTGATTACCTGTATTTTAAATACACCAGCTCATGAGGGTTTTTGTGTGTGTGTGTTTGTTTTGCCTTTTTTTTTTTTTTTCCATAATGCCACTTACAGCATCGAGTGCCTAAGGAATATCATTCCAGAGATGCACGTATCAACTTGACCTTTAGGATCATTTATCCAGAACCTGGTGGAGTTTGGAAGTGAAGAGGCACTTTGGGCATTGCTGAACACACAGCAGATCGAGAGCCTCAGTTGCCTACGTGTTTTACAGGAGCAGAGTTCTGTGAAATATCTTATGGGGAAAAAACTGATGTCATGAAGATCTTTGACAATCAGAAGTTACCTGTTATGCGGACAGCGTGGTTTTGTTTTCAGAAATGGTATGCCTTTAGATGATACTAAATCACAGGCTTTGTTTGTGCAAAGATGATGATCATTCCTAAAAGAACATGGAATCTCTGAGAGGTACTGACTGGAGCAGAATGATTCAGTGAGCAGTTATTTTTGCACCTTCTCGTCTCCCATTTCTCCCCAGATGGTGATCTACGTTCAAGTGACATAGATCCAGGACGTGTTCGGGATTCTTTTATGTAAAGCCAGCTATCTGTGCGCTGTGTGTGTGGAAATGGGAAAGCTGCACTCTGGGATGATTTCTGAGTGTTAGTCGCTTCACCAAGGGGTAATGCATTGCTTTTTATTTGTAGGTTGCAAGAGTCTTCTGCAACAAAGCAGTCAGTTTTGTTAGTTATAAAACTGCTTGAACTATACTTGTGCCTAGTAGAACAGCGGGTCGAGGCTTTCTTCAGCTATGTTCTCTATGGGCAGATTTCGGTCCTTACTGCTTATTTGTGTAGACAAGTCACAAAAGGGCAAGGAACACAAACATCTTAGCCATGAATCTTATCAGCTATGTCAAAACTGCTGACTTCTTGAGTGCTAACAGTCTTCCATCCCTGTTGGCGTAGAAGTGTTACCTCTGTGTCATAGGCAGGAAAACAGAAACAAGGAGATAAAAAAGGTTTTTTGTTTTTTTTTTTTTTTAGAATTTACTAATGCATTCTTACTTTCTTTTTAGCACAACTGAGTTATGGCTTTCAGTGATTTTAGGTGGGACAAGAAATGTCAGCATCCCTAAAATTCACACTTGCGCTGCCAAACTTGATATCCAGAATTGGCCCAAAGATTTGGACACAAATTATTATAATCACACTGTAAGTTGTAAAGCTGTAAGTATAGTGTTAGTATCACCGGGCGCAGCACCCAGTCTGGTGCTGCTAGCAAAACATCCTGCTCCTAGAGTGGTGCTTGCTGCGTTAGAGCAGGGCTTGCTTGCAGGGCTCTCTCTCAAATAGCTGCTGTTACAGAGCAGCAGTCAGCAGCTCAGACCCGATTCTTGGTTGCCTTGTTGGAGTTTGCCTGACCTAGGTACATCCTACCTGTTGTTAGAACCAGGGAGCTGGTGGTTGCCTTCTCAGTCGTCACACATGTTGTCTGCATGGTTCTCACTGCAGCGATGGCATCCCCTGTCCCGGATCAAAACGCTGGTTTGGTATCGCTTCGCTTTCTGCTTGAAGCACGATCTAAGCACGGGGAAATACTCTGTGCCTTGTAACATACTGGCAAGCTGCTTTAATGCAAGAATAAGCAGGTGGTTGGAAAATGCCTGTCTCTTCGTAGCCAGCATTATCTGTAGTTTAAAGTTGTTCTGGACAAGAGCAGTCAAGTTGTTAACACTCAGTTATGCCTATTTTTAAAGGCACTGGTAACCTAAAGGACAGGCTGTCGAGTCGTTTCATTCCCTGTATTCTGAAATTTGGCAGAAGCCAAATTTGTTTGTGTATCAGACAAACTTATTAGGAGATTCTCTATTTAAAACACCATACAGATTTTGAAATAGCTTATTCTTCTAAAATGAATGCATGTTATTGGGAAGCTTATTTTGTTATCTAATAATTTCTTCACTTTTATCCCAGTTCCTAAAGCAATATGTTTTTGGAAATACATTTGAAATAAGTTTCCAATGTAATATTAATTTCTTGTACTTGAATCTAAGATATGGACTCAGTGATGTATGTTTTGAGAATTCATGTTGAAGCAGGTGGAGTTTACTTTAAAATTCATTTTCTTCAGGTAGCTGGTGCTTTGCTTATGTCCCTGTATGTGTGCCCAGTTGTTGCAGTCCTTAAAAAGAGTGTTTTCCTTAACCGAAGGGCATCTGATTTCTCCAGGTATTCTGACTAGGCAACATGTTAGCCTTTAGTAGTTCATACATTTAGTTCTACGTTTGTTTACACTTTGTTAAAAGCAGTCATGCTGCAAAAGGAGTAGGAGATGGGGACTGGTGGGAACTTCTTAAACCCACAAACCCAAACCTATGGAAATTGCAACTTGTTTGAATTCAATGGGGCTGTGATGCACAGGCAGGGCCCTGGAGACTGATGCTGTTGAGGAAAACAAACAGTTCCTTGCTTACTTTCTCAGTTTCAATTCATAATGTTAGCAAACTGTGTTGTAATTTTGTTTATTTGGGTTGAACTGGAAAAATACAGAGGTTTGCCCCTCAAAATAAAATGATTTAAAAGAGGAATGCCGTATCCCATGGAGCTCTCCGGGGGTGACATCACTTTATTGCTGCTGTCTGTGTGCCGGCCGTGCTGCTGCTCGTATCCGAAGCAGGATGACGGTGGGGAGAAGGCACGTGGCGTGGTCCCTCCCCCTGGCCTTCGAGCCCTGGCTGTAAGGGGAACAGTTGGCACAGAGGTCGGGTTTCTTCGTGCCAGCTGGGAAGTTGTGGGTCCTTCCTTCCTCCCCCCACCTCCTCCCAAAAATGTCACCTAGCCAGGTGGCAGCGGATTGCAACCTCCTGCCCGCCGGAACCGCAGGAAATGGCTGCGAGCAGAGGAGATTCCAGCCCACATCTCCCCAGGAGATCTTTCTGCGGGGACGTTTTTCTCCTAGGTAGAAATCTGGTCTTTAATACTGCAAAAGCACTCTCATGGTTCCCAAAGAGGATGTGTGCAAAGGTAGGGTTTTTAAAGGTTTTTAACTCTGGTGTTGTTTTCATGACACCCAAAGGCTTGAATTTTAACTGGAGACCGGCCAGCTGGAGAATTTGGAGTGGTGGTGTTCAGCTCTTCCTGCTGTTGGAGTCAAGTGCACAGCGTGAGGTTTATGTACAGCATAAATGTGTAGGTACATTCTAGGCTTTAACTTAAAAGCAGCTGGAGGAACTTTTCCTCTAGTTCTGTGGATTTGAAAACAGTATCTCTAAAAATGCTGTCCAGAGGGTTTATTTTCCAGTTCCAAGGTTTTCTTGCTTCCCAGGACTGTTTTGACAGTACAGGAATCCCAGCCAGAAGCTTACTGAAAAAGTTGTAAACTCAGAATTCGTTACAATAATACAAAGTAAAATACATTGCGGGACTGTTTGGTTTATCCAAAACCAAATGCTTTTACATGCACGAAGGATTCAAAGCTTGAATATTCAGATAATTGAATATTCAAGCGCAAACTCTTGATGGCTGGGGGATACCTGATTAAATATTGCAGCGTTGGGCCGTACCAGGTTGATCTGTGCATGTTCTGTTGGAAATCAAGAGCAAGGGCATAATTTCTCTTTTTCAAGAAAAAAAATATCTTTATTTTTGGTTTTGATTAGCTGTTAAGCAGTACATAATTTAATTCTCCGGTGTCAGATTATTTCTAGCTGTGTATTTTCCACTTGTCGTGACTGATGGGTTTAATGTAACTACCTGAAATTTCCTTCTGACAGCAGTAATTTAGAAAGAGACGGGGTGCCAGGAAGGGGTTAAGAAACCAGAATTTTTGTGCCACAATACTGGCAGAGTACAGAAGATTGTTCTCCTGGGGTTCAGGACAGAAGACGGACGGTGGGTGCTGCAAATCCATAATACCTCCTCGTCGAGTGCCGGTGCTATTGACTTAGCTAAAAAGCATTTAACACCCACTTTGCCTTTTCTGGTCATAAACATTTTCAGACTGGATATGAAATCTGCCTCACTCTGTTTTGTTTTTGAAGTGCTTCTTATAAATGCTCGAGGTTCCCATAGCAACCTGTGCCATTTGTTTAAATCGGAGCTTGCCGGCCTGTCCTCCCCGCACCGAACTTCTGCTGAGATCCTGCCGGTATCGTCTCATTTCCTTGGCATGCCCAAGAGCGGCTTGTAAGTATTATTTAGTGGCTCCACAGCAGCTCTGGGTAAAAACACTGGCCCTTCCCAAAGGGCCACTCACTCAGCAAGATGACAGATGTGTGCTTTCTCGCTTGTCGACCTATTTGATTTACCTCCTGCTCTTCCTGCATAGCATTTGGCGCAGCTCTAGGAGTTACTCCGTGCTCCTGTCAAGCACAGTTTGGCTGCTCCCACCCTGAGGACACGTCTCCAGGCAGCTGGACACCCTGTTTTAAGGGAAGGGAGCGGGTAGCATAGTGTAAAATTTTAATCAGAATAAGGAGCGAGGAGGTCTGTCTCGCAGGGCCCCACGTTTCATTTAGATTCTCCAAGGGAAACAAAACCTCGTTGTGTTCCAGTCGCTCAGGAGGCTTTTTCTAGCTGAGCGAGACTTCAGATCCCAGGGGATCACCCGGAGCGGCAGCGTTCATTTGATCCAGAGCGGTGCTCAACCAAAACCTATTTCTGCCTGTAGCTGCCTGCGCAGCTGCTCTGCCATCACCGCGGGGCTGTTATCTGCTCGGTCCCACGGCGTAAACCCCCGCTGGAGCGGGCTGGCGGTGCAGCTCAGCTGAGCAGGGAGCTACCTGTGCCAGCCCTCTGCCCGGGCGCGCTTCCAGCAATTCCTTTGCGCCAGGGCAGGCTGCCACGCAGCCCTGCAGGGACTGATGCAGGGAGCTGAGCCGGCCGAGCGCGGTCCCTTGGAGCAGAGCAGGGCAAAAATCAGGCAGCACGGCCAGGAGAGCCCCGGCGCTGCGTGGGATGGAGCCGTGCTGGTGACTCGCTGCTGGCCGTGGGTCCTCGCCACGGCTGGGTGTGCTGCGGGAGGACTTCTTGCCCTGAGGAGCTTCTGATGCAGACAGCGAAAGATGAAGCAGGAGCAGAGACGTGACGTTGGTTGGTTTGAAACCCTTCAGGCCTCGGTGCTGCCACGGGTACAATCCACAGCTGAGTGTGGGCTGCTTCGCCCTGAAGGCTCTCCGTCTTGCACCAGGCGCTTTCCTCTTCCCTTCGGTTACCTCCTCAGTTAGCTCCTGCCTTGGCCTCCCTCACCTGCAGCACAATGGCTCTGTTCTATCTTAGAAAAACTTCCTGGCGTTCAGGTCAGTCCTCAGCTTTGGGTACAATTGGCTTTCATCTGGCAGGGATTCGATTACTCTTTTTTTTTTTTTTTCTGCTTGTCAGCGTTAGCATCGCATTGGATCCTCTCCTCAAGGCAAGGCTTTGGCCGCGGGGACAAGTGGCATTCAGCTATTTACTGGTGTCACTTTCGCAGATTTTGCCTGAAGTCCCTGAAGAGGGTTAGATGGATTAAACAACTTTCTGCAGGATACGGTTACCTGAGGTCTGGTGGTTCATTGCTGAGAAACTTTCCATTTTCATCCCTAGACTCCAGCTGATTTCTTTCTTCACTGCTTGTAAATAAGCTTAAAAGGAGAGGGGGAAAAAAAGGAAATGTGTTCTGCTGTGAAATACCTGGGTGCTCTGCAGTGTTTGTAGGCACAGAAGAAAATGGAAGATCAAATACTTCAGGAGTGCTGGGATCCCACCTGTGACACCAGCCTGTGGTTGTAAGTCTCGGCTCACATGGGAAAGGTTTTGGTTTTGTCTGACTTCAGAGAAGCCAGAGCTTATATGCTCATGCTGTCAGCCCTCCCTGGCTAATTAAGAGCTCGTTGGTTGGTTTTGTCCAGATCCGACAGAGGGTAACAGAGGTCTCAGAAATAATCACGTTTCCTCAGCTCTTGCAAAACTCAGCAGCTGGGTGCAGAAGAAACGCCAACCCCAGCATCACGTGCTCAGCACAGCTGCCCGGGGAGGAGCAGGGAATCCTCCCCTCCTCGATCCTTCCCCAAAAACATTCCTGGTCCTGTGCCTGGAAGCAGGCACGTGCCCCCAGCACCATCCCATGGACCATGCATGGACCATGCGGAGGGACTGGGAATCCCTGGACTCAGTGAAGCTTTCCCCCACATGCACAAGAGAGCGTTTTCCCAAAAAACTTCTTTTGAAAATGTGTTTTCTCAGGGAAAAATATTTGTCAAGCTTTTCAATCTAAGTCAGGATGTGCTTGATGAATTGCAAGCACTGCTTAATTAGTGGCATCCCTGTAATTAGAGGTAGAAATACGCGTACAGGTACAGCCGTGGGAGGTCACAGCTGAACTTTGCTGTGGACTCGTGTACCAAAAGCAGCAGGGATATGCAGGTCTCCCTGCTTGCTAAAAGCACAGGCTCTTTCTTTAAGCAGCTGATGTTTCTGCAATAACCGCCCGTCTGTTGTCTGAGCTGCATTCTTATCTTGTATCCTCGCAGCATCATGTCCTGATACGTCAGTAGCAGTGCTGGGAAAAGCTGCCATCCGTTCTGACGCCCGTCAGGCCAAACAAAGGAAATTTAATGCAGCAGTTTCCGTCAGGGAACATTTTGCAGCTCTTTTTGAAAACAAAGAGCTTTATTACCACATTTATTAGTGGTAGTGCGATGACAGCCAAATGCTGTTATCCTGTGACATTGCTACCGAGATGCTGGCTTCACTTCAGCTATCTCTTTACAATTAAAATAATTAAAAGCAGAATAATACGATATATTTCTGTGAGGAGCATTAACACATCCAAACGGTTTGGTCTGTACGCTGTCCAACTGCTAGAGAGCAGCTTTGTGGGATTTATTGTGGCTTGGAGCACATAAGCAGGCAAGACTGAAAGCGAGCTCTCTGAGGGGGTGGGATCTCCGAACGCACTTTGTTCGCTCCTCACACGAATTAACAAGTTTTTGCCATCATCTGCAGTCATGCTGTGGGTGCATCCTCACCCTGCAGCGCTGACTGCTGTGCCTGAGGGAATGGGCATGGCCCCCGCTGGGTTTTGCCGTCCCAGTCATCGCCCCCAGCCCTGTCCCTTGCCCTTGTTGTTCCCCTGTCCCTCGCCCTTGTTGTTCCCCGTGTTGTTCTAGCCTTGGTGCTGCCCTTGGAGGGGCCGCGTTGCCCTCCCAGCCCCAGCAGCTGCCGGGTCCCCTGCGCCCAGCCGCCCTCACCGCCTTCAGCACTGCCTGCAGTGCCGGATTCATGTCCCTGATCTGTGACCACGCAGCTGAAGTGATTTGGCATCACACGTAAGTCAGTTTTGTAAGCACACGTGAAACGTAACGGAGGTGACGTGCTCAGATTTGGGGCAGCCAGCACTGCCTCGTGGCCACGGGGAGTCCCCAGCCTGAGGGTGTGGGGCCGGCACCGAGGCGGCTGTGGCCGAGGGGGGAGGTTTTTGGGACAGGCCGAGGAAAAGATGGTTGTGGGAGCTGTGAGGCTGTCTGTAGGAAGCCGTGGATCGATGACCTAGCCAAATTTAATTTGCAAATGGCAAATTTGGCACTTTTTTTTGTTAAAAGAAAAAATGTTACCAGGCTGCTGAAGTCCCAGCTAGAAACACCGGGAAGAAAGACAAAGGCTAAAAAAAAATGCATAAGGAAAGGGCACATCTCGGACCCAGCAACGTGGGGAGCGTAGCCCTGGCAGGTAATGAGCCAAACAATTCCCTGCCCTCTGCTCTGTTGTATGGTCTGCAGGAAGGAGTGATGGTTTTCCAGTTTCCATTAGGCCTTGAGTAACCTGGGTTCCCCCATCAGGAAGGTACGAATTCGAGGTTAAATCATGCGTGTGCGCAGCAAAAAGGGTAAGAAGATTTTTTTTTCTGCTTCCAGAAGTAGTTTGTATCAATTACCTGTTTATCCATTTCGTGCTTTCGTATTTGTGAGCCGGGATCTGTGAGGCTGCAGTTCTTGTTGTTGTTCTAAACCTGGCTGTTTCGGGATGTGAACTGAATGGGAGAAGAACCTGAACCCCTTCCCGTTACCTCATGTGAATTAATGCCAGGAGCAAGATCCCAAGGGCTGGTGCATGCTGCCAGGCACAGCGTGCTGGCTCGCAGAACCAAAAGGAGCTGGATGTCGCCCTCTCTCCCCTGTCTTATTCTTTCCTTCCCCCTTTGTGGCACTCGCTGTGGTAGCCAGCAAGAGGAGTCACTAAAAGGCTGTGTCCTCTGTAATCGCATTGTCAAACGAGTGACCCCGTGCCATGAACTCATTTCCCTGATAGTGTTTCAGCCGTGTTGGCAGTTCCTTCTCTGAATCCGGCACTTGAGCGTCCCGAAGTTGGGCAGTGAGGTATTTTACGTGAACCCTACGGCACTCGACATGCTCCCAGCCTCGGGCACAGGTCCCTGCAGCCCTGGCACGCGATGTGACTTCAGCTCCATGCTATGCAAGAAAGAAATCCCCTCGTATGATCCCCATGGCCGAGGGTTTCTGTAATCTATACGATGAGGTCACATTTCAATACCGGGAGCAACCCAGATTAAAGGCGTGATTTAAGCCCCTGGAATAAATATAGTTTTTTACATTAGCGCATTGCAGACCTGACTGGGGGGATTATGTCACAGGATATTTTTTTCTGAATTGTCTCAAACAAAAACTTAAGGCTTCCTGGTTATTGCCATGGTGATGTTGCTCCAACTCAGCGCCGAAATTTCCCAGAGCCTTTTATAGCCCTGATTGCGAGGGAATTCGGTGTTTGGCCTACCTGCAAGGGAAGCAGTTTGCCCTCACTGAACTTTTACCAAACTCGGTGGGTAGTTTGGGGATGCTCGTGTTGAATTTCAGGTAGTGAGTCAACTGGCCTTTTTTCTGCAGGGACTTGGATCCTCTTATGCTAAGGCTGTTGCTAGAGCAGATTAAATTTACCTTGCTTCACGTGAATGTGAGATGCTTTCCTCGGCTGCCAGTTTGCTCCTGCAGGAGAGGCGAGCTCGGCCCCAGGAGTCCTCCAGGTCTCACCCCGCGGTTCCTGTCTGTGCTGAGGAAGCAGAGCTCGGTCCAGCGTGCTGTAGAGTCCAGTTCTCAGGAATAAAATCTGCTGTGAGTGGGTCCCTTGGAGAGAAAGTCCTCGTAATGCAGTCAGGGCTTCGGGGGGCTAAATTTAGCCATTAAAATCAACAGTAAAAAAAAAAAAAATGCCGTCTTCTCCAAACGGGAATGATTCAGTTTGACCCGACAGAAAATTGTTCCCTTATTAAGTTAATTGCATCTCCCAATAAAAAGGCTTCAGACTGAGCCTGGCCCCGAAGCTGCTCCGGGGAGCCAAGGAGCGGCGAGGCTGCAGCCAGATGCTGTCTGCAGCCAAGGCCCCGAGCCATCCCTGAGCGCTGGCGACAAGCGGGGCAGCCAGCAGCCCCCCGAGGGTGCCGACCAGAGCTGCCAGCCACCTTTCTCCCGGAGCAGCTCGGTGATATTGTGGCTGGTTTGAGACGGGGCCGTGGTTATGGCTGTTTGCTGCACGGGGCCATCGGCCTCGTCCGGGGGAGCCCCGAGACGTCGGTGCTGCATCGTACCGAAAGACAGAGCCGAGGTTTTGCGGTGGCTTTTGGATGAACCATTTCAGGCTCTGCCTCCCTGTTCTGCTCTGTTTCACCCTAGCTCCTTTCCTCTCCTTGCTCTGTGCTTTCCTCACGCTGCGGGGTTTTTCCAGCCCTGCGCCCCCCTGGCACGCAGCGGGGCATCTCCCGACCCCTCGGCGAAGCACGAACCGGAGTCACTCCGAATCAGGTACTTAACCCCAATCAAACCACGGCCGGGAGGGACATGGGACCGACCCCAGCCCCTCATTTGGGGCTGACCCGGCACCGGGGGGGGGGAGAACAGCTCGGGCCCGGCCCCGGCCGTGGGCAGGGGGGGCCGGGGGCGGAGCGGCGGAAGGCAAGCGGGCAGCGGGGGGGCCCCGCCGCCGTCTGAGCATGCTCGGGCGTGGGCAGCCCGGGCTATATAGGAGCCGTGCCGAGCCGTACCGAGCCCAGCCGCTCTGCTTGGGGCAGGGGGGGACGGGAGAAGGGCTCCGCATCGCCCGGCTCGGCTCCGATCGCATCCCATCCCACAGCCCGGCACCGCAGCGCTCCCGGGGCACCGCTCGGCTCCCAGCACCCGGCTCGGCTCCGCTCCTCTTTTCTCCTCTCCTCTCCATCTCCCCGGCTCCGTTCGGCTCCCATCTCCCCGGCTCCTCGCCGCTTTCCCCCCCGCCGGGACCCGGCTCCCGGCACGGCCGAGGCAGCGCCCCCCGCCCCGCCGGCTCCGGCGGCGCCCCCCGGCCCGGCCCCGGCTCGGTGCCCCCCGGCGGAGGGCAGGATGGCCGCCAAACCCTCCGAGCTGCTGGGCGTCTGCTCCAGCTACCAGGCGGTGATGCCGCACTTCGTCTGCGTGGCCGAGGAGTTCCCCCCGCCCGCCCGGCCGGCCCGAGCCCCCCGGGGCAAGCTGCGGCGGCCGCGGCAGTCGCGCTTCAAGACGCAGCCGGTGACTTTCGACGAGATCCAGGAGGTGGAGGAGGAAGGGGTGTCCCCCATGGAGGAGGAGAAGGCCAAGAAGTCCTTCCTGCAGTCCCTCGAGTGCCTGCGGCGCAGCACCCAAAACCTCAGCCTGCAGCGGGACCGCCTGGGCAGCTGCCGCCTGCGCAACAGCCTCGACTCCAGCGACTCGGACTCGGCCCTCTGAGGTTGGCCCGGCTCTGCCCGGCTCGGCACGGCTCGGTGGGACTGCTCCCGGCAGGGACCCGGCCGCAGGGAGGCTCGGCGGGGCGCCCGGCGGGCCGGGCTGTGCTCTGAGAAAGCGCTTCTTGTACCTGCGGCTCTGTTCGGCTGTACCAAACTCTCCGTCTGAGACACACACACACACACACACAAAAAAAAGAAAAAAAAAATCTTTTTTCTATTCGTTAGAAGAAATACGAGCTGTTTTAGATGCATCGAGCTGCTGGACTTTATATTTATTTTTGCATTTAAACTGTTGACTGCGTTAATTTAATATGTTTCTACCTGAATGTCTGTTATTATTTCCATAAAAGAGTAATAAAATCCGATATATTTGCACAGTACCTACCGGGCTGTCCTTATTTCGGGGCCCTGCTGTCCTCTTCGGGCTCTCCTTGCCCCTCTGGACAGGGCTGCAGGCACTCGGAGCCTGCCGGCAGCCCGTGCAGAAGCAGCAGTGCTGTCCCCAGGGATGCTGCTGGGAGAGGTTTCGGGCTCCGTGCCGCCAGGTACACGCTGATGAGACAGGACACGAGCCAGGCTGGTTTTAGACAACTTCATTTTCCTGTCAGAGGTCTTTGTATTAAAGTAGTTTGATGTTTAAGGACTGTTTGGAATTGCTTGTGCCTGAAAACGTTAGCGCAGCCGGGCAGGTGGAGTTTGTTCAGAGCTGTACATGTGCTTTCTGCTCTCTTTCTCCTTTCCTATCCTTGCCATGTGGTTTCCTCACGCTGCGGGGTTTTTCCAGCGTTTTTCTGCTCTCTGTGAGTTGCTGTTGTCCCTTCCAGCCCCCGAGCCGCGTGGTGCTGCAGCCGGAGCGAGCACAGGTCAGTTTGGCAGAGCAAAAGAGGGGACGGGACGGGCTTGTCTTGGAGCCGAAAAGCAGAGGCTTTCCCGTGTGGGGTGGGAGATGAGTTACGTGCGGCTTCGGTGTGCGTGAGAGACCACGGTGTTTGTGCTGAGGAGTGCCTGAATCTCTCTGCAGGAGAAGCAAATCCCTGGACCGAGAATTTCTCTGTTCCCTTGTGCTGTTCCTGCTCTGACAGCCTGCTCCCACGGCACGTCCTCCCTCGGGGCACCCCTCGGGCAGCTCACGCTTCCCCATTACCAGGAATTACCCCCTAGGGATTTGCAGCCTCCAGCCAATACTTCTGGGGGTAGACCCTTGGGGGGTGGGAGCTTTTCCTAAGCCTGTCCTTACAGCTGGCAAAGGGACCCGATGAACAGCTTCCCCAGGGGCTGTGAGAGGCAGGAGGGGAAGGTGGTGGTGATGGGGTGCCCTCGGGGTGCATCTGCAGGTGGCCTCACCTCTGGGACAGCTGCAAGCTGGCAAACCAGGTGCTGTTGGAAGTAATCAGCTACCAGCGGCTGTGCTATGTCTTCATCAGCGAATTCTCCTAAAGCTGTTACAGTTCTGGGAGTTTGGGTTTCGCAAAAAGGTTTGAAACGTCTCTGGGAACACTACAGCCGTCTGCCTAAGTGTTGCGTAAGGTACACGGAGGGCTAATGAGCTCTGGGAGGTTGTACAGCATCCTCCCCGTACCGCAGGCTCGCTCTGCTTTTCGGTCATGCTTTGCTTCCACCCCTGGTACAAGTCCCAGAGGTGCGGGCGCTGCCTGGTCCCTTCAGGAGGCTGTGAGCACACTGCCCTCTGCAACCATCAGCCACTGCCACCCTCCATCAGGCTCAGGGGCCTCGGGCTCCAGCTTCCCGGGGGTGCCCGTGCTCACTTTTCTCTTTCAAGAGACACCCCCTGAGCTGTGCTGGATGTTAACACAGGGGATAAAGAGGGTTCAGGAATCCGTGGTAGCGCAATATTTGAGGAAAAGCCATACCCCGTTGGAGAGGCTGGGTAAACAAGTTTCTCTTCAGCCGTTCTTTGTTAACATTTTTCTGCTCCCTCTCAAAGTGAGCGACACGCAAGTGGGAGATGCCAGCGCTGAAGACAGGCTCTCTGTATCTTCCCAGCTGTTAGGAGCTAGGCAAAAGGGTGAAAACGCAGGGGGTTTCAGCTCTGTCCTGGAGAGCCCAGGTGGAACAGCAAACCTTGTTCCAGGTTTGAGTAGCTCTTTTGCTACTCATTTTGAAGGTTTTTCTTGCAATATTTTTCAGCATCACAGATATCTGTCCTGTAAGGATTAAAAACCAAACAAAACCTACAACCAAACCTCATTAAATTCACTTCACCAAGGCTAATGACTGTATCAGAGGCTTTTGAGTCTGTCACCCACTACCCAGGCTTGAGACGTGGGCCGTACGTTTCCCTTCAATGGCTCACAGCTTAAAATCATCCAGCAGATGCCACTTGCGGTGATGCTCAGGGTGGCAGCGAGTAGGCACGAGCATCCTACGTCTGCAGGGAGGGGCCGGGAGCCAAAGCCTGGTGGAAAAGCAGGATGGGGCTCGGGGTGGAGGGGAGGCTGGGAAGAACGGGCAGGGCTGGAGGGAGCCCAGGGGACAAATCCTCTGATTCATAGGAAATCATAACACAGACGTTGTTTTTTAATGTGACCCGATTTTATTCTCAGATTGCTGCACGTGCAAAGGAGCCTGTCCCGAGGAGCACCCAGCGGGGTGAGTAAAAGCTGATCTCTGGATGGGCCGAATGGTGCGGTGCCATCGCTCCTGTGGCATCACGGAAGGGAAAATGTCCTCTCCGTGCACCTTACGGATCTCATTTCCTGATTTTTGTTGTTGGTGGTGGTGGTTTGTTTGATTCTGTGAATCCACAAAAACCTTTTGGGAAAATGTTCAGGCTGGAGAAGACCTCTGAGATCATCCAGTCCAACCTTTAGCCTAGTACTGCCAAGCCCACCACCAAACCGTGCTGTGAGTTCTCCATCTACACCCTTCTTGAGGGCAAAACCACCAGGGATGGTGACAACCACTTCCCTGGGCAGCCCGTTCCAATACCACACTGCCCTTTCAGTAAAGACACTTCTAATGCCCAACCTAAACCTCCCCTGGTGCAAATTGAGGCCATTTTATAATTATTTTATAATTATGTCGTAAACTGAGGAGGAAACACTCCCGTGCCCAGTAAAGGCTCGTGCAGGGCCAGCTCACCTTCTCCTGGAGCAGGAGGTGGTTGCACAGTGCAGTGGGGTCACCGCCTCAGCCGAGCAGTCTGGGGTCTTTCACTTTCCACCTCTGTGGCTTAACGAGCTTCCTCTTAATTAATTCCCAAGCAGCATCGCATTGCACCGCATCACATCGCATCGCTGTACCTGGGCAGCCCGGTCTGGAGGGAGTGCTGCTGTCCCATGAGCATAGAGGAAAGCACCTCCAGGTATTTAATTGGCAGAGCAATTAGTGTAACCGGTGCCAGGGGACAAGGGACCGTGCCTCCAAGCTGTGTTACCAGCATCTGCGGTGGCAGAGTCTCCGCGGCGCCCAGCGCCCTCCTGGGCTTTGCACAGCCCTGCAGAGCCCTGACCTGGGGCTGGTGGCTGGGGGTGGGCAGCGGGGAGCTGGGGTCCCCACCAGAAGTCCCCACCAGAAGACTTGGCTTGCTTTGAAAGCCAGGCGAGGTTCGCTTGGGTCCGATTTCAAACAAAACCAGATCCGCCGCGATAATTTACGGCTCTGTCTCGAACAGGGATTCTTTGTTTGGAAGCATTTGCATCGAGGAGGCTGGAGTTATTTATTAGGAGCTGGTGAAAGGGAAGTCTTCTTCCTCGGCTTGATTTAAGACCCTGTTGTTGTGGAAGATTTTTTCCCTCTGCCTGTGAAGAAAATGACCTTTCTTGGGCAGGAGGGACGGGGCCTGGCGAAAAGGCAGGGAGGGAGGCAGAGAGGGAACACAGCCCGGCTGTGAAACAGCTCTTGGCTAGCACAGAGCTGCGTGAAGGATGTTTATGCGCTTGTTACTTTCAGTCCCGGCTTCTGGCAAATCTGTGTTTTCCCTTTGAGAAATATCTGGGGGTCCTGCCCTTGATCGTTAAAGACCCATTTCAGGCTCTTTTCGCAGCAGCCTCCGATGGCTGAGGGAGCTCGGGCTCTGCTCCCCCAGCCTCTCGGGGGAAACCCAGCGTTTCAGCTGCATATGGGCAGCACCAACGTGGCTGGCGTGTTTTGGCCAGGGACTTGTGTTTTGGCTGGGGACGTGTGCCAGGGGGTCCAGCGGGGCACCGGGTGACAGCACAGGGACCCGCACGGCTCTCCGATGCTCTCAAAGGGGCAGAAACATGGAAGGACGTGGCTCAGTGCCTTCACTGGTGGTAGGCAGGGCAGGGCCGCAGGGGATAGAGCTGCTGGAGCAGCACTGAGAGGCAGGAGGGGAAGGGAGAAGGGAATAACTCAAAAACAGGCAGCCTCAGGGTGAAGGGAGGCACGCAGCACCGCCTGCTTTCAGCCACCTTCCAGCAGGAGCACCCCTGAGGTCAGGCACCCCCGGGACCCAACCAAACGGGGTGAAATGCTGCCCGCTTATCCTCGTGAAGAGATGGATCCATGTTTTTCTCTGACATATCTGTTTGTTTCCCAAAATAACTGCGAGGCTTATCAACCAGCTCCTCCTCTTCCCAGAAGACCGGCCCAAAATAACCAATCCACCACTTTTAGGGGTTTCGTTATGAGTTTTATGACCATGTCTACATGTGCATGTTTACTCCTGGGTGAAGAGTCCCCGTGTATTTGTATTGTGCGGACAAGCGGGCAGAGCAGGGAAATGGCAGGACTGCCCAGGTTTCTGCTTAGCTTTAGGTGCAGGGTTAGCTTTAGGATTTCAGGCTGGCGAGGTTGATGAATGGTATTTAGACTTTGTTGGGCTTGCACGGGTTCTTCTCAGGGTCCCATCCCCAAGTTTAGGAACCAGAGCCTGGTGGCTCTCCTCTCCCTGCTCCGCAGGGACCCCTTGGTGCTTCCACACTCGGAAAGGGCTTCTTCTGCCAGCACAGATGGGAGTCTGGACCTGGGAGGAAGGGGGCTTCACATGAGGAGACACTCAGATTTCCTGGTTTTCTAGGGTGAAACTTCTTCCCTCTGTCCTCTACAGTAAAGAAGTAGCTTCAAAGATGAATATTAAAAGGAAAAGAGTAAAAAAGGCTTGCAGATAGCCAGACTCTGGATATGAGGAGTCTATGATAAATTTAACCACCAGAAAGACTTTTCAAAATGAGTAAAAATAGCTAACATAGCTAAATAGTAGATAGAATATTATTGGAAGTAAAATATATCCTGGAAAAAAAAAAAAAAAAAAAGCATAAATCATGTCCAAAGAGGCAAAACTGGAGGCATCATAAATGCTGGGATGCTAAATGTGAAATCATAATAAGACATGCTTAAAAAAAGATTTTGAAGAATGGCTTGTAAAAGGCTAGAAACTTCTTCTGATATGAACTTT